TTCATGGGTTCATGGGTTCATGGGTTCATGGGTTCATGGGTTTGGGGTTTGGGGTTTGTTTGTTTTTGTGTCGGAGGTTTTGGGTTCGGGTGTTGGAGGTTTTGGGTTCGGGTGTTGGAGGTTTTGGGTTTGGGTGTTGGAGGTTGAGGTTTCGGAAGGGATGTGTTTGCAAAGTTTTATTGCTCTTAATATTATAACACAAGAAGAGACTATTATTTACCCAATTTTAAGGCTCAACTTTCAGTGGTCATTGGAGTTGGTCACTGAGACCGAAGAGGCGACCCCTTGAGAACGACCGTCTAAAAACCTAAGAGACACCAGCGCGTGGGGCTGCAACTCCGGTCAGACCTCTACTCGCTCGCTCGGAGCAACCCTTCCCTATACCGCGATCTCTGGCTATCCCGGATGCCTTGGATCTACAACTCTTGTTAAGGTGTCGAGCTTTTCGTTTTACCTTCTGGGAATTGTTCTGTGTCAGTCAGGAGAAGGGGATTGTGACTTCCTAGCGTTACATCGCTGCTTTCGTCACTAGAATTGACTTTCGACACTTAGGCGAAAAAGTAGAGAAAAGAGAAGACGCTGAAGCAACTAATTATTTATCTTTTACCCCGCGAGTGGGTACATCTATCTATTCATCTATCTATCTAACTACATAAGCTTAAGCTTGCTCTAATAGTCTAGGAATGGTAAAATCTCACCAGGAGTTGGGTCATGCGGTCCGTGGACGACGCGATTTTTGCGTAGACACCTAGTACCCCAGAAATTTCCTGCAAGATTTGGGTTGATGAGATGTTCCGACACCAGGAAAAAAGGCAGTCATGATCATGGTATATTAGGAACTGCATCAAAAAGTAGAGATGATACGGACCTTCACCTTTGGATCGAAGACGATACATGTGCTGGAGGTGAACAAACTGAAACAGAAACCGTAAGAGGGGATGCAGAAGACGATCTACGACATGAAGAGAAGTTTGTAGCCGAGGGATCGATTGCTGAGATCTCGAAAACGTTTCGCAGCATTGCGGATATTCACTGTGCTCTTCATTATGGCTACAGTAGCTACTGCGAGAATACTTTTACACGAACAAAATAGATTGCAAGAAGAGTTGTAGCCTTCTATCATGTCATTTTTTACTTGCTAGCTTGGCAACGAAGTAAAGGGTTACCATTTATTTACAACAATCTATCATGCTAAAACAACCTTAACCTCTACAAGGCCTGCTTATTTGCGAATCCATGTTTCCATGTTTCAGCAAAAGTAAGGTCAACCTTCTATTCTTCTGACTCTTTCTAAAACGACTCCTGCAGTACACATCAAAAATCTGGTTGTATGGGAAAGCTGTGGCCGGCTGTATTCCGGTATTATCTGCGTGAGCGCACGAAGCGCCTTGCGAGAAAGATCAAGTCAAGATTAAGCAAGGTTTATTTTTCATTTTTATCGACGAGTAGGCTGAGTCTGACAATCCAACAACAAGCTAGATCAGCTGGTCATCTCAAAGGGTAGAACTTCGGAGTTGATGAAGAAAGCGACGAAGTGGAGTCAGTGCATACAAAGAACTATCTTTCTAATGCAGGACTCTGCCATCGCCAAGATATTCGCAAGTGACGAAGCGCTAGAAAAATGGATGGAGCAACAAGCCTGAGGTTGAAAATTCTTTTAACCCGATCCTGGTTGAATACTGCCCTTTTTTGGCTTCGAGATTAGGCCAGGATGGAGCACATGAAATGAAAGTACCGAAAAGTAAACATCCTGACAGATTTGTACAAGAGCGTATATTTAGATGAATCCTTCCAGAAGAAAAAATATCTATCAGCATAAATAATATTTGACATATTTCTAAGACCTATCAACTGAAAAAGTTGTACGTAGTTACTAGTACCACTATGTAGTTTGGATGGTCCCTTTCTTGAGGAACCTGGTAGACCAGGTAGTATAGATTTCACCACTTTCATAATTTATTACCTTGTAGAGAATCTCAATTGAAGGAGCAGCATGATATACGACACATGATCAAGGGTTTTTGTACAGGTTGTAGAAGTCGGACAGTCCTGCAAGATTTGTAGATGGAAGAGCTTTTTTTTTGAAAGATTCAGATTGTTTAATTTCAGACGTCTGCTAGAAGTATCAGAAAGACAGGTCCA